TAAAAAAAAAAAAAAAAAAAAATTAGCTGGGCATGGTGGCACATGCCTGTAATCCCAGCTACTTGGGAGGCTGAGGCAGAAGAATTGCTGGAACCTGGGAGGCAGAGGTTGCAGTGAGCCGAGATTATGCCATTGCACTCCAGCCTGAGCAACAAGAGTGAGACTGTGTCTCAAAAAAAAAAAAAAAAAAAGGATGCAAATGTTCTCCAAAGAGGTTAAAACTGTCTGACCCTAGGAATATTAGGCATAGCACCAAAACTGGCAGTTTGTGGTGTGCTGCTCTGAGCAGAGTTGGCCTCTCCTGTGGAATCACCCCTACAAGACTGGAAGCTCCCAGTGGGAAGGGACCAGACCGGTCTTGTAAACTGTCTCCTGTGCCCAGACCACAGCAGGCACTCAGCAAACACCTGTGGGACAAAAGAGCTCACTTGGGACTGGCCAGAGTGTAGGAAGGGTAGGTGTGTTGGGGGTGGTTAGGCAGGATCCCAGGATACACTGGTCGTCTATGCTGTTCAGTGTGAAGCGGGTGTTGGAGAATCGGGCAAAGCCATCCCGGTAGAGCCAGGCCCGCAGCGGGATATACTGAGGCAGAGGTGGAAAGAGAGAGAGAAGAGAGCGCGTATACGTACAGGCACTCTCCCACCATCTAGCTCTTGCACCTACCATTTCCTCCCCCCAGAGTCCCCTTCTGTCTTTCCCAAATCAGACACCTGCTCTCACAGCAGGCTTCTTTGATTTTATCCCCTCCTTTCCCCAGCGGGGAAAGGAGATATAGAAGGAAACCAAATGAAGGTGAGGTCCAGGAAGACAGGGGCAGAGTCTGTCTCAGACACCCCTGTAGCCTGTGCCCAGCATAAAATTTTGAAGGTTGGCTGAAGGGATGAATGAATGGGTGGAGGGAATATAGCAGCTCCCTGATTGAGAGGCTCTCTGAGGCCAGGCTGCCTGGATTTGAGTCCCAGCTCTGCTGCTCACCAACTGTGTGACCTTGGGCAAGGTACACAACCTCTCCATATCTGTCCCCTCATTGTAAAGGGAGGATAATAATAGAACCTACCTCCCTGGGTTGTTAGGAGGCCTGAATGTGATAAAACCTGCTAAGTGCCGGGGCCTAGTACTTAGTAGGTGCTCAGTAAATGTCTGCTGTGGATGACCAAATGAATAAAGAAGGGCAAAGAGAGAGCAAATCTAGATTTGGGGGCAGCTAAGATGGTAAACTTTGGGTACGTCTCCCTGCTCCCACCCCATCCCTAGATGTCCCCCCAGGCTCTCTCAGGCAGAGATAAAACCAGACAAGCTCACACAAGGTACCCACAGGCCATTTTCCCCATCTCCAGAGTCCAGCCACCGTTTAACCCCTGCTGGAGGAGGGCCCCCCGCTTCGTTACTCACCGACATCACCAGCACGTAGACACGCAGGTCAAACTTGCGGCCTGTCAGACAAGGAAAGAATTAATTTGTGCAACAAATATTGATCATCAGACATTGTGCTAGGTTTTGGGGAAATAGCGGTGGACAGACAGACAGGAAACCCTGCCTTTATGAAGCTCCTGCTGAAACTACACAAGGGGCCAGGCACAGTGCCTCATGCCTGTGTGATCCCAACACTCTGGGAGGCTGAGGCAGGAGGATCACTTCAGGCCAGGAATCCAAGACCAGCCTGAGCAGCATAGTGAGACGCTGTGTCTACAAAAAATTAGCCTCCCATGGTGGTGCCCACCTGTAGTCTCAGCTACTCTGGAGATTGAGGCAGGAGGATCGCTTGAGACCAGGAGATGGAGGCTGCAGTGAGCTATGACCATGACATTGCACTCTAGTCTGGGTGACAGAGACATGGGCTCAAAAAACACAACAAAAACTACACAAGGTATAAAGAGAGAATAATGGGAGGTGGGGAGGGGTGCGTGGGGGTCAACCTGGGGGAAAGGCTTGAAACTCAGTAGGCAAATAAGACCCTCATGGGAGTTGTAACCTTCACGGAAGTTACTGCTTTCACAGTGCCTGCCTAGCCCAGAGTGGTGCAGGACCTTGGGTGGGAGAAACTGCAAGAACAGAAGCCTGAAGGGGCAAAGAGCTTGGGCCAAGGGCAGAGAGGAAGGAGATGAGGTCGGCTAGGCTGGCAGAAGTCAGGCCCTGTGCACTTTTGGGGTTCTGTCCCAAAAACCATGGGAAGCCACGGAAGGATATCTCCTCCCTCTGGCTGCTATGTTGGGGTGGAGTGAAGTGGGCAGAGCAGCCGTAGGCACCAATGAGGAGGAGAGTGTGGTTGTCCAGGAGGGAGGGGATGGTGGCTGGGACCCGGGCAGAGGTGAGAGGAGCAGCCAGACAGATTCAAGAGCTTGCGGGAGCCTGGCGAGAACCAGATGTTGGGGGAGGAAGGGGACATACCCAGAATGGCTCCTGGCTTCTGGCTGTGTCCCCGATGGAGAAACTGAGAGATGGTGAGGGAATGGGAGGGCAGAACTTGGGGTATGTTGGGTTTGAGCGGCTGGCAGATGCCCAAGAGGGATGTCACAGGCTGCTGGACATCAGGATCTGAAGTTCAGGGGCAAGGTCCTGGCTGGGGACAGAAAGCTGGGAGTCACTAGCCTTTGGGTGGTGTTTAAGTCACAGACAGAACAGGGTCACTATGGGGAAGAGAGGAGAAGAGACCCAGGGGCTGCCCCCTGGGGAAGGTAACTGCCAGAAGACATGGGAACTGGCATTAACACTTGCAATGATGTCACCCATGCCTGATGTCCTGTAGTTCCCAGAGCCCAAGTAAGAAGAGCAGATGCCGGGCACACCTGGGGAAGCCCACCAAGGTTGCAGGGAGGAGGCTGGGTTCCACCTCAGGGCCTCTGCCCTGCAATTCCTCCTCCCTGCATTCCTCTCCCTCCAGATCTACCCACAGTGACTCCTAGCTGCCACTCAGGTCTCAGCTCACATGTCACCTCCTGGCCCCCACATCATTGTCTGTCCCATTGTCCTGCTTGACTGACTTCATTACACCAGCACTGCATGGGACTGTCCCGTGGTGTGTTTTCTGGTTTACTGCAGCCTGCTCATTGAGGGTGTAAACTCCAGAGGAACAGGGTGGGGGGCAGCATTCAGGGCAGCGCTGGCACCAAATAGGCACTTTAAAATATTTGTTGGATAAATGCACGAATAAGTAAGTTGGTTTTAAAAAGAGGAAAATTTTCCTGAACCAAGAAGGGAATGGAAAGGGCATGCCAGGCAGAGGGAACTGTATGGGCAATGGCTAGGGGTGGGAGACTGCAGAACTGATCTCTTTCCATGCGTCCCTTCACGCCTAGTGTCAGGCTGGGCCCTTGGCAGGCTGCTGGTCAAGGCTTGTTGACTGACTGACTGATGACCGTGCAATAGAAGAGCAGGGGCAGAGACAGCCATCTCACCTCCTATCAGGTAGGGATTTTCGATGTAACGCTGAGCCACGTAGTTCTCCACAGGAATATCATCTTTCTGGTCATCAGAGTTTCTTGTGTCCTAGTAATAATAATAATTGAACATTTATTTATGGATCATTGCCTGTGTACTAGGCATTGTGTTAGACACTATTTGGGGTAGCTCATTGGATCTTTAAATCAACCCTATCAGGTAAGTACTAACGTTATTCCCATTTCACAGACAAGAAACTGAAGGACAGAGAGGGAGAGTAACTTGTCCAAGGTCACACAGCCAGTTAGTGGTGTCACTGGGATGTGAACCTACACGGTCTGGGCCCAGAGCCTAAGTGTTTAACCTCTAGACTTGTGTTGCCCAGTAGGGCAGTCACTGCCATAAGAGGCTATTTACATTTACATTTACCTTGACGGAAAGTAAATGAAATTACATGCTACAACACGGGTGAAAGTAGAAAACACAGGCCAAGTGAAATAAGCCAGACGCAAAAGGACAAATATGGTCTGATTCCACTGAGATGAGGTGGCTAGAGTAGTCAAGTTCATAGAGACAGAAGGTAGACGGGGGTTGCCAGGGGCTGGGGAGAGGAGGGAATGGGGAGCTGGTGTTGAACAGGTACAGTTTCCGTTTGGGAGGATGGAAAGTTCTGGAGATGGACAGTAGTGGTGGCTGTACAACAATGTGAATACACTTACAAAAACCAGACACTTAAAAGAGGTTACGATGTAACTTTCATGTTACTTTATATTTTACCACAGTTTTTGTTTTGTTTTGTTTTGTTTTGAGAATGAGTCTCACTCTGTTGCCCAGGCTGGACTGCAGTGCCACAATCTGGGCTCACTGCAACCTCCACCTCTCAGGTTCAAGCAACTCCGTGCCCCAGCCTCCCGAGTACCTGGGATTACAGACAAGAGTCACCACACCCAGCTAATTTTTGTATTTTTAGTAGAGATGGGGTTTCGCCATGCTGGCCAGGCTGGTCTCAAACTCCTTGCTTCAAGTGATCTGCCCACCTCAGGCTCCCAAAGTGCTGGGATTACAGGTGTGAGCCACCGTACCCAGCCCATAATTTTAAAAAAGGATATGAAATTAAAAATCCAGTCCTCAGTCACACCAGCCACGTGGCAAGTGCCCAGCTCAACATCTCACCTGTGGCTAGTGGTCACTGCATTGGAGAGCACAGATATCCATTTCCATCCCTCTAGAAAGTTCTGTTGGACAGTGCTGCCTATACCACCTATGGGCCTCCGAAGACACTGCTCCTTCTCCTCTACCTGCCAGCCCAGCTCTGGAGGACAGCAATGCTTTCATGCATGGGCATAATACCTCGCAGCCTACAAATGCCTTTCCCACCCGTTGTCCCCTTCGCTCAAAGACAAGGGTTACACACTTGATGGGGTCACACAACCAGCCCAATGGCAGGCAACACTGGCTCTCAGGACAGACCTGCTCCACCCACCATCGCTCCCCGCTCTACTGTGTCAAGACAGAAGCAGCCAGGTCTTGCCTTCCTGGGACCTGGGCCCAGCTCCACCTCCACTCATGTGGCTGCCAGATGGACTGACAGTACTCCTCCAGGCAGGCTGGGCCTCCAGGCTGCTGAGCTTCTTCCCTGCAGTGCCCTGACAGTTTCATGGGAGGAGTCAAGACATTGAGCACTGCTGTGCACCTCCTGGTACAGCAGGTGCCAGTCCTATAGGATTTCAGCCATCCTGCTCCTCCCACCCACCCTGCACCATCATCACCGCTCAGCTTCAGAGGGCTTCAGCCATTTTTCCAAGACCACACAGCTGCTGAGTGGGAGAAGCAGGATTTGAACCAGGATTTCTACTGCACTGTGTCTTGGGACAAGAATGGAGTGGGAGTGGGAGGGAGCTGCCCCAAAGCTCAGTCTAGGCCCTGGAGGAAGAGTCAACCATACTCTCCCCAGCCACGTGAGCGGGAGGCCCAGATAAAGAATGTGCATCAGCTGGGCGCGGTGGCTCATGCCTGTAATCCCAGCACTTTGTGGCTCACGCCTGTAATCCCAGCACTTTGGGAGACCGAGGTGGGCAGATCATGAGGTCAGAAGTTCAAGACCAGCGTGGCCAATATGGTGACAATGTCTCTATTAAAAAATACAAAAAATTAGCCAGGCATGGTGATGCGTGCTTATAATCCTAGCTATTCAGGAGGCTGAGGCAGGAGAATTGCTTGAACCTAGGAGGCAGAGGTTGCAGTGAGCCGAGATCATACCACTGCACTCCACCCTGGGTGACAGAGTGAGACTCTGTCTCAAAAAAAAAAAAAAAAAAAAAAGAATGTTCATCAAGCACTGAGTATCAGGCACTGTGCTGGGGGGAGGGGTGTGTGTGTGTGTGTGTGTGTGTGTGTGTGTGTTTGCTTATCAATTACCATCTCAATCTACTGAGGCACTGACAGGTGAAGTAACTCACAAGGTCAAGATTTGAATCTGGACAATCTGGCTCTGGAGACCCTCACTCCAATGGGTAGAGTTTCTCTGCCAGCCCTCTGAGCTTTGATAGCAGGAAGGAGGGGCCCCTCCAACAGCGAGGCCAGAGGAGGGTTCTGGGAGGAAGGGGGAAGAGGCAGGCTCACCTTCCTCCAGTCCATGATGTCCTTCAGCCTGCGGAAGAGGAAGATGCCTTTCCCCTGCGACCGGGCTACCTGGGGAGTGGTGGGGGCAGAAAGCCGGCTCTTAGCTCTGCATGGTTCCTTGTTTGGCTCCCCTGGCTGGGGCCTCTACCCAGCATCTCTGTCTCTTTTCCCCACCAGCCCCCAGCTCTCCCCAGAGGAAGGCTAGCTGAAGGGGCTGGAACAGAGAAGGTGCTAACCCTGGCAGAGGGAGAGAGGAAAGGGAGGGGAACGGGGAGACTGACTTAGCTCACAAAGATGTATATTTGCATGAATAATGCAAAAGAACAGACAATTAAAAAGCCATTTCTAACAGTCCTGGGAACATATCATCTGATTCTTTTTTTGGAAATCAATTTGCCTTCCTAATTAGGGTTCGCTTCGGCTAATACTGAAATCAGCCTGGCTTTACTGTACCCCAGCATGGATAATTCATAGCTGCACAGAGTCAAGGGGCTAGAAGAATCTTTGATCTCATACAGAGTGGTCCTCAGCAAGGCATTACTCCCCTTCTACCACCATAGAAGGACGACAGTCTCCCACCTGGCCTTTCACACCCACAAACTACGTGGAACTCACTACCTCCCTCAACCCACGCCAAACATAGCTCATTTTGTTACAGGATAGCTTTGTTAAATAGTCATCCAAAGGGTATATATGAGGTGCATACTATATGTTGGGCATTATGCAATAACCTAGACCTCATGGAACACAGCCTAGCTTGTGTTGAGCTAAAATTGGCCAGTCCGGCTTTGGCTCCTCGGACCTCCTAGGAGCTGATTCCTGGGTACCAAAAGAGTCTTTTAGGTATCTGCAGCCACTGAGCAGGTCCCCCAGGTCATCTTTCCTCCAGCAAATGTGCTAACTCTTATTTCCTTCTGTTCTCCTCTGAGCATGGCCCACCTGGCCCACCTGAGGCTCTCTGTCGGGGCAGGCAGGGCTGTCAGGTGTGGTGGTACGGGTTGTCTACTGCTCTGCCTGCGCTGTGCACCCTGCTTCAGGGTTGTGTGTGCCCAGAAGGCTGGGTGCCAAAAACACTATGGAGCACTGGTGGTGGCTCAGGGGCAGCCAAGTGTGCACCGCAGTTTCAGAAAGCAACTACTCAGTGTGCACCAGGAGCTTCCGACAGTTCACAGCCTTGCAGAAGGTTTGAACAGGCATTTTATGAAAGAAGATGACCAGTGTAAACGTGTCACAGGCAGGGCACAGTGACTCACATCTGTAATCCCAGCACTTTGGGAGGCTGAGGTAGGAAGACTATTGAAGCTCAGGAGTTCAAGACAAGCCTAGGCAACATAGTGAGACCTCGAGACCTCGTCACTACTAAAAATAATTTTTAAAAATAGCCGGGTATGGCTGGGTATGGTGGTTCACGCCTCTAATCTCAGCACTTTGGGAGGCCAAGGTGGGTGGATCACTTGAGGTCATGAGTTTGAGACCAGCCTAGCCAACATGGCAAAACCCCATCTCTACAAAAAATACAAAAAGTAGCTGGGCGTGGTGACACGAACCTGTAATCCCAGCTACTCGGGAGGCTGAGAGGCACAAGAATCTCTTGAACCCAGGAGGTGGAGGTTGCAGTGAGCCGAGATCATGCCACTGCACTCCAGACTGGGTGACAATTTCAAGACTTCGTATAAAAAAAAAATAGTTGGGTGTGATGGTGCATCCCTGTAGTCCCAGCTACTTGGGAGGCTGAGGTGGAAAGATGACTTGGGCCCAGGAGATTGGGGCTGCAGTGAGCAGGGATTTACCACTGCACAGCCTGGGCAACAGAGTGAGACCCTGTCAAAAGAAAGAAAAAAGAAAGAAAGAAAGAGAGAAAGAGAGAAAGAAAGAGAGAAAGAAAGAGAAAGAGAGGGAGAAAGAGAGAAAGAGAGAGAGAAGGAAAGAAGCAAAGAAAGAAAGAAAGAAAGAATGAGAGAGAGGAAGAAAGGGAGGGAGGGAGGAAGGGAAGGAGGGAGGGAAGGAAGGAAGGAAGAAAGGAAAGAAAAGAAAGAAAAGAACAGAACAGAACAGAACAGGCACTCAACTTCATCAGAGTTTACCAAAAGAGAAGTGCTAATTGACAGAGCAGGAGCATGGTCATCTGGGACAAACATCAACACTTTAAGTTCCAGCTCCCTTTCTAGCCTCATGCATTCCAAGGAAATCACTTCTCTTCTAACTACAAGCAGCCAGAAAAGGCAGACAATAAAACACAGACAGGACAGCTCATGCACAGAGGGAGGTGGGAGGAAAGTCTCTTGGATAACTGCCAAACTTCACCCTCATACAACGGGCCCCAGTAAAACATTGGGCTTTAATAAGCACGTTCCTTTCCCTTCAGGTGCACTAAGACAGGGAACCTAAAAGCAGACTCCTGGGATATGCCGGCAGCTGCAGGAAGATGAATGGGAAGAGACACACAACTCTCCCTCCCAGATAAGCATAACAAAGAGACATGGTAGCAGTCCAAGCCTCTGACAAACTCTCCCACCCTGAATCCTTAAAAACTCTTGGTCTGTAAGAGAGTGTAGCTCTGACCTAACTCGGCCAGAAGCTCCTCTCAGGTTTGTTTTCTCTGAAATAAACCTGTCTTAACTGGCAAGCCACCTCTTGTGTTTCTTTTCTCTTTAATTCTTACACTAATGAAAATCACAATATGATACTACTACATACTCCCTGAAAATGGTTACATTTAAAGACAGACAATACCAAGTAATGGTGAGGATGTGGAGAAACTGGAACTTGCACACACTGCTGGTGCGAGAGTACATTGTTTGGAAACTGGCAGCATCTGCTAAAGCCAAACATAGGCGTCCTCTATCCTATGTCCCAGCAATTATTCTCCTAGGGACCTACATGACAGAAATGTCTGTACATGTCACGATGGACATGGCCCCAGACACCCATAGCAGCAGTATCATAATAGTTCCACCCTGAAACTCCCTAATGGATGAATATTTATTCAATGGAACAGTATACAACGATGACAGTTAACAATGTACAATTACCCACATCAGCAGAATGAACTGCAAAAACATGTCAAGGGAGAGAAACCAGACACAAGGTAGTCATCCTATAAGATTCCAATTATAGGCCAGGCGCAGTGGCTCACGCCTATAATCCCAGCACTTTGGGAGGCCAAGGCAGGCGGATCACCTGAGGTCAGGAGTTCAAGACCAGCCTGACCAACATGGAGAAACCCCATCTCTACTAAAAATACAAAATTAAGCCAGATGTGGTGGTGGCTGCCTGTAGTCCCAGCTACTCGGGAGGCTGAGGCAGGAGAATTACTTGAACCTGGGAGGTGGAGGTTGCAGTGAGCCAAGATCGTGCCATTGTACTCCAGCCCGGGTAACAGAGCAAGGCTCTGTCTCAAAGAAAAAAAAAAAGATTCCAATTATATAAAGTCAAAAAGCAGACAAAGTAAACCTATGCTGTTTAGTGCCTGGGGTAGGGATGGGGGTTGTGAGTGAGTGGAAGGGGGCCTGAGAGGGCTGCTGAGGGGTAGGGAATACTCTGTTTATGATCTGGGTCCTGCTTACTTGAGTAGGTTCGCTTTGCAAAAATTCATACTGTACCCCTATAATTTGGCTACTCTTCTATATTTTATTAAAATTAAAGTATCTTTTCAGGTTCATACACTTTGATCTAAAAGCCCCTATCCCCAACCCTGTTGGCTGCCCTCCCTATGACCACTTTCCTTCCTCTTCTTCCTTGCCAGAAAAACCCACCTCTCATGTGGGAGGCTGGAAAGGCCAGATGCTGGTTTTCCCAGCTTCCCTTGCAGTTGGTGGAAACCACATGGCCAGTTTTGGCCAATCAGACCTAAGGAGACATTTGCTCAGAGATTCCAGGAAAGATGTTTCTCCTTGTTAAAAATATTAGGGAAAGAGCAGGGGAGAAAAGCAGGGTAGGGAAAAACGTCCTGGCCTCCTTCTATCTTTGAATGCTACAGTCTGCAGAGAGGATGCCTGTGACTGCAGCAGCCATGTCACATCCATTAGGTGACAAGTCTGATGACAAAAAGCCAGCACACAGGGTGCAGAGTGGATGGAGAAAAGGAGCCTGGGCCTCTAGCGGAATCATCAAGAACATCCCCAACCCTGGATCTGCCTACCCTCAGCCTTCTTGTTCTGTGAGATAACAAAATGCCTTTATTGCTGAGGCCATTGTTAGTAACTTGACACGACTGGTCCAGGAGGTGCCTTCCTAAGGGACTAACCCTAAAGAATGAAAGATGAACCACCTGCATGGTGTTACGTCAGGGTTGGTGAGATGGAAATCACCTAATACCTATCTCTAGCAGATGGCAATTTCCAAAAACAACCACAACAATATTTCCAGTCCCATATGTTCTCCAGAACCCTGTTAAGAGGTAAAGTCAATGACCCCTTCTCCTCGAATCTGGAAGTGTCTCTACTAATTGCATATGGCAGAACTGATGTGTGGTTTCCAATGCCAGGTCATAAAAGGCAATACAGCTTCTGCCTGGCTCTCTCTTTCAGGATGGTTGCCCTCAGAGCCCAGCAGGCATCCCACAGAGAAGCCCAGGTCACAGGGAGTGGCCCACATGGAAGGCAACTGAGTCTTCCAGCCCTCAGCCCTGGCTGAATTCCCAGCCAAGAGCCGGCACCTACTTACTAGCGCAGCCAGTGAGTCAGCTTGGAAAGAGGCCCTCCAGCCCTCAGTGGATGCTGAGGCACAAACGAGCCTTCCCTGTCAAGCGCTGCCCACACTGGGGGATCATGAACAAAATAAGACATTATTGTTGTTTCAAATCACTATGTTTGGGAGTTTGCTACTCTGAAATAGATCACCAGAATTCTGGCTTTAGTAGAATGGTTCATAACAATGGCAATACCAGCAGCTAACACTTACCAGATGTTTACTCTGTGCCAGGCACCGTGATTTACCCAGTTACCTCATTAAAGCTTCAAAAAACACACACTCTTGGACATAAACATTAATATTATCACCATTTTGCAGCCGAAGAACCAATGAACAGAGAGGCCAAGCACATTGCCCAAGGTCACCCAGCCAACAGGTAACAAATCCAAGATAGTTAAATCTGTGCTACACAAACCTGGGGCTCATATACCTCTTGAGAAGTGTCGGGGGTACACAAAATCACATGACAAACAGCGCTACTTCTGGGGGCATCTCTATTACTTGATGGTTTGGGAGGGAAGTATTTTTATGTTACGCTTTTTTCTTTGAGACAGGGTCTTGCTTTGTCACCCAGGCTGGAGTGCAGTGGCGCCATCTCAGCTCACCGCAACCTCTGCCTTCCCCACCTCAAGCACTCCTCCCACCACAGCCTCCTGAGTAGCCCCAAGGCTGAGAACAGCCCCTTGGTTGCCAAGGATGCTTGCAGCCATGTGTGGAGTGTTAGACCAGCTTGGTGGACACAGGGAGAGAAGGAGCCTGTGCCTCTAGCAGGATCATTGAGCACATCCAGCAGCCTGGGGGACATAGAGAGATACTGACAGACAGGCCCAGTCCCTGACAGCCAAACACCTGCCTGCCCACACCATGAGGCAGGCTGGAGCCACAGCGGTCCCATGAGCCATGTCAGTGTCCTGCCCACCTTCCCACCAACTCTGCGGACCTGAACTGCTGGCAGGGGAGAATGCTTCCATGGAAAAAAAGGTAGAAGTAATGCAATATTTTTACTAGACTTTTAAATGCTAGACCCAAGAGCCTGTTCTTTTTTTTTTTTTTTTTTTAGACGGAGTCTCACTCTGTCGCCAGGCTGGAGTGCAGTGACGTGATCTTGGCTCACTGCAACCTCCGCCTCTGGGGTTCAAGCAATTCTTCTGCCTCAGTCTCCCAAGTCGCTAGGACTACAGGTGCGTGCCACCACACCCAGCTAATCTTTTGTATTTTTAGTAGAGACGGGATTTCACCATGTTGGCCAGGATGGTCTCGATCTCTTGACCTTGTGATCTGCCCATCTTGGCCTCACAAAGTGCTGGGATTACAGGTATAAGCCACTGCATCCAGCTGAGCCTGTTCTTATATTCCTCTAAGAACTCCAAGATGGGCTGGGGCTCTGGCCTGGTGGGAGAAGGGTCCCCACAGGGTGGTACACAGGGGATGATGCTGCTTGCTCCCTTCTGAGTCCTGGGCTGCTCTGCTGCCACTGATGAGGAAGATGAAGGCTCAGCAGACACAGGAAAACAATGCAGAGGAGACGCCCACTGGCTGCCCTGTGACTGGCTGGGCCACAGCAACTATGTGAAAACTTTTGCCTGTGGGTGGGCAAAGATCAACCAGGTCACAAAGACGGGCCTTGTGGGAAGAGTGGAGTGGAGGGATTGGGGGAAGTCTCCCTCTACTCCCCAAACATAGGGCAATGTTCTGTTCTTAACAGTCTCTCCTCCTTAAAGGAATCCAAATAAAATCCCAGAATTAACACTCAAACTCAGTGGTTCTCCAAGTGGGGTACTCAGACCAGTAGCACCCTCAGAACCTGGAGCGATGGTTAGTTTTATGTGTCAACTGGATGAGGCTATGGTGCCCAGTTGCTTAGACAACTATTAGTCTAGATGTTGCTCTGAAGGTATTTTGTAGATGTGATTAACATCTACAATTATCAATTTTTTTTGGAGACAGGACCTTGCTCTGTCACCCAGGCTGGAGTGCAGTGGCATAGTCTCAGCTCACTGCAGCCCCAGCCTCCCAGTCCCAAGCAGTCCTTGTAACTGGCACTACAGGCACACGCCACCATACCCAGCTAATATTTTTATATTTTTTTGTAGAGACTGACTCTTGCTATCTTGCCCAGGCTGGTCTCAAGCTCCTGGGCTCAAGCTATCCTCCCAAAGTGCTGGGATTACGGACATGAGCCATTCACCGGCCTGCTATCATTAATTTTAGGTTATCACCCTTGACAGCATGGTGGGTGTGGCAGGGGTGGGGAGGGGGAGCTTCATTTAATCAGCTGAGGGCTTAAGAGTAAAAACTGAGTTTTCCTGAAAAAGAAGAAATTCTGGCCAGGCGCAGTGGCTCACCCTTGTAATCTCAGCACTTTGGGAGGCCGAGGTGGGCAGATCACCTGAGGTCAGAAGTTCGAGACCAGCCTGACCAACACGGAGAAATCCCATCTCTACTAAAAATACAAAATTGCCCTGTGCATGTCTGTAACCACAGCTACTTGGGAGGCTGACGCAGGAGAAGTGCTTGAATCTGGAAGGTGGAGGTTTTGGTGAGCCAAGATCTTGCTATTGCACTCCAGCCTGGGGCAACAAGAGTGAAACTCCACCTCAAAAAAAAAAAAAAAAAAAAAAAAAAAAAAAAAAAAAAAAAAAA